TTCTCCTGATATAATAACCCTATCTTAATGGATCAGGAAGCCAATATGGGACGTCTACCAGTTACTGAGTGTGTCTCTTTCAGTTATACAGCCAGGCTCTCAGAGAAAACTCTGGGGTAGGTTGACAGATTGTTTGAACCCAGTGCAAATGGATTTGAGCCAAAACTTCATTTACCACCATAATCTTCCACTTTTCTATTCCTAGGAATTAGTATCGGTTTAGAATTAGCATCTAGTAATCCCCTAAAGATCTAGATATTTTCCTTTCATCATCCCAATAAATGGCTATAGATTTCTTAGGGAAAGTCTTAGAGGAAATTTTACAATACATACGCGTGGCTCTGTTGCATTGCCTTTGAGGGGGCTAAGGACTTCATGTCCATGAATCAACTTGTGTTTGGAAACTGGGAGTGACTAATTCTTCAGTGTGGTTTGGGAAGTCAGGATTTAGACTGCCAGGCCTACTGATTATAGATCAATAATATTTTAGGAGACTGACTTTTAATTTTATTCATTAGAAATGCTTTGTTCAATTAAGCACTACTAAAGATATCTGCAGGTTGAAATCTTTCGATTGCTACTTTTTGTCAGTGCTGTCCCTTCACATAATGACTCCCACTTTTCTCTTATTAAATTCTGCCATTTGACCTCTGTACTCTGGGATTTCATCGTGTCCATCAGGGAGTCTTTTTCAGTGATGCCATCTCCCCAGGTCATTCCCAACCCACAGAAGACAGTCACTACAGTTTTTCAAGAATGCAGATTCCCTTACTAATGTATTTCTGAATGCTTTAGTGCAATGTCCTCTGCGACCTTGTGGATGATAGAGTAGGAGGATGTGTCTATAATCACGTCGCACATGGTAATCCACTAGAGCATTCCTATTTTTCTAAGTATCTGGATTTTTTTTCTACATTTGCCAGGAAAGTTTGGGCATTTCATCCTCATTAAATGTAGACTCCTTTGGGACTTAAGTTTCATTCAGTCAACAAGCAGACTATTAGAGGTACTTGAAGCTGCTTAAGCAAACATGTTGTATTTGGCCCTACCCAAACTCTGTGGTCAAATTCACTTCAAATTCATTTTTATACCTAATCCCTAGGTTTTTGCTGAAATAATTTATGAAAAGCTTATAATTATCTTTGGATATAAGCTATCTTCTGTCAGTTAAGACATTGTACTTGTTTTCTTTGAGCATGCCTAAATCAGATTTTGGAGGCAATAAGGAATGGTGGGGGTAGGTTTTGAGAGTAGGTCTCCTCTTTCAGAGCGACTGTCTCAGGTAAGAGTATTAACAGTTTTCATTCAAGAGGAGGCTAACCTTTTCAGGCATGGGAGGCGGAGCCATTTCTGCTTACGAAAGAGGCTCAGAAAGACTCCAGGGGTTCAAGATTTTAACCTTCCTATGAGTCCACTCAGGTATTCCCCCATTCCACCTCTTAGAGTCCCACACCTTTCAAGCAGTTCTTTAAATTTCACCAAAGAGACTTAGAAGGTTGTATATTCAACTTTTACTGTAGTCATGCAAGCTGCAAAATTAAATTTTGGGTCTGATTCTCAGCAGGATTATAGCTGTGGTTACAAGAAATAAGAAACTTTTTAAAGGGCCAGTTCAAAAGCTCTGTAGGTTTATCATGACTTGCATTGAAAGTTAAAAACCCTAAATAGTCATTTTCTTCTGTAAGTTCTCCATTAGAGTGAGAAGCAGCCAGTCCATAGTCCTTGTCATTATTACCACCATAATGGTCAAGTCAAACCATCATTTGGTGCCCTTAGGCACTTGTTTTAATAGGTATGTAATCATAACTAACTGTAAGTGATAATTATTATGCCAGTTGTGGTTTGGTCACTAGTATCCCATTTTCCACTGGCAGGGTGCTCAGCAGTACATCGAAGGTCAAAGACATCATCAATTCCTAAATCCTATGTTTCCTGAGACACCTCCATTATCAGGAAAATGAAACCACTGTAGGGTGTTTCAAAAGGGAGGATTTAATGAAGGATTGGTGAAACAGGTGTGGAAGACTAAAAGAGCAAAAAAGTAAAGCTGAAGTAATCTAGATATAATAAGTGCTTCAGTAAGTTACCACTCTTAGGCCTAGGGGAAAAGAGATTAACAGAATTTTGAAGCTCAGAGGGGCTCCTTGGAGCTGAGGGTCAGACCTCTGTGAAGTGCATACTTGATGTCTCTGACAGGATGTCAAGAATGTGGTAATAAGAATGCTGAAAAAGAAAAAAAAACAGGAGACTGAAAACTACAGGCGACGTTGATGGAAATGCATGCAAACAGGGAGAGGAAAGTCATTCCACGCTTCTTCCTGATTTCTGATCTTTATCTGGTGTCCCCTGTTGGCAAAATCTATCAGGAAACAATATGCCAAAGTGAAATATATAATTTTGCAGAATCATAGCTCCAGCATCGCAGAATAGACAATAGAATGGTAAATTTGGAGTTAAGAAAACAATAAGTCAGTGACCAGCCCACTAACTTTAGTTGTTTTTCTTGGGTTCTGAGAAGTTGTGACAGTATTTAGAGAAGTGAAATATCATCGCAGATTCTATTCATAGATACTTAGGAGCTCACTTTGAATTCTAACAGTGACATTCTTTTCTGCTTTGGACAGTTCCTCTGTTCTCATGCCTTCCTTCTAAGATTGCTTTTTTTGAATCTAACAACTGGGAGAAAGGGTATGTTTTCGTTTATAATCAATGATTACTAGAGTCTCTGAACTCTGGTGAGATCTAAGCTAGGTCATTTTCAGACTTTTTTGATTATGACCTATACTGAGAAATACTTGGATTCCAAAACACACATATACAAATACCAAAATCAAAAGTTTATGAAACAGTATTTGCTTCTATTAAGTGACACATACTGATAATTTCTATTTTGTTCTGTTCTGTTCTATTCTGTTCCGTTCCATTCCCTTCCATCCATTCCGTTCTGTTCAAGAGACTGATCACAATTCACTAAAACAATAGTGATTAAAGCAATAGTGTGAAGTAAATGTAAATATTTTCTCCTGCTTACTTATATGAACAGTGCTTAACTTTGCATATTTTTTGGTCACTCTCGTTGTTCCTATTCTGGTTCCCAGTTCATTGTTTTTCCTTAAATGCAAGGTGAAAAGAAAGATATTTTAGAACTAAGCTTACAGTTCTGGTGGTGGTGCAAGATATGTACAACAATTTTTCAATGGAAATATTTCTTTTGTTTCCTCCATTTCTACTTCTCCCAGTAAGGGAAAAAAAGTAGTAATGTATATGATAAGTTAAGTCAGAGAAAAAACAAATTCTTTAATTATTGTTCCTCTACTCATAAATTTGTCAAATATCTGAGTACCTTCTATATATAAAATCTTGAGCTCAGGACAAAGGATACAGACATCAAAAACACAGATTTCAGCTTTGTCCTTGTGGAACTTACATTCTATTAGGGACTTAAATGTCAAATGATTAAGTATACAACTGAATATATATAATTGATAGTGGTAAAGAATTTGAACTAGTCTGAGGTAGTAAAACATGCTCTGAGTTGAAAAACATTCAGTCTGAGATATGAAGGGTAAATATAATTAGGAAAAAAACCATGGAATTTGGGGATTGGGTGGGAAGGAAAGAATAATCTTAGAAGGAATAGTCTGTGTTCTCCCATGAAACAGGAGGGATCACTGTGAGACAAGAAATGAACTGCTGTTGTGGCTGTTAGCAAAGAGAGATGAAGATAGCATAGCACAAGATGAGAATGCGAAGGTCGATAGGATTCAGATAATATAGGGCCTTGTGTGCCACTTTTATTATTTATATGAAGAGCAGGAAGGAGTATTGAAGAAAATGATATGAAGATATCTCTGTCTTGAATTTCACTCTAGTGGTGATATGGAATGAAATGCGGAGATTAGTTAGGAAGGTTTTGCATTAGTTCATACAAAAGATGATTGTGGCTTAGACTAGAGTGGCAGCTTCAGAGGGGAAAGAGATTTAGGAGGTAAAATTGAAAGGATTGATTAGATATGGGAGTTGGAGAGAAAAGGGGTCAAAGATAATGCCAGAGGTTCCCAGCTTGGGGAGCTGATATGAAGAATAATGGGGGAAGATCAGGCTTGGGGAAACATTAATGAGTCCAACTTTGGATCTCCTGAGTTTGAGATATTACTAGGTACCAAGCACTGTGCTAAGCTTTTCATATATATTATCTGATTTAATTTTTACAAATACAGTTAATTTTTCCATTTATAAATGAGACAGCTATTTAGTGGGCTGAGCCAGAATTTCATTTTTTTTTTTTAAGATGAGAAATAATCAAACATATTTAAATGCTGTTGAGAAGAATCCAGAAGAAGGAGATGTTGAAGATACTGGAAAAGGAAGGGACAATCTGTAATGTAAAGCTAATGAGAAGATGATTTAGATTTTGCTTAGATAGAATAATGTCTTCTCTGTTTTATAGGAGGAGGAAAAAAGTGTGTATGTGGGTTAGTTTGTAGATTCGATGTCCAGAAGGTGAGAGAATTTTCCCTCGATGACATCTGTTTTCTCTGCTAAGTAGAAAAAAATGTCATCTTTTAAAACTGAGGAGTGAGATGGTGGAATGGAGATTTAAGGATGGTAAGGTTTCAAAATAGTTTTTGTGGAAAGTATGATCCAAATAATGATTCATTTTTTGAGAGTGAGTGAAGAAGACACTGTTCTTAATTTATGGAGTTTAAAATGATATTTTACCAACATCATAAATACATAAGGCAAAAATCTAATTAAATGCTAAATGATATGTCTGATACTGCTAATAGACATAGAAGAGCAAGGATAGGACAGAGAGTAATGTGGCCTTCAGTCACTGAGAAAGATTTCATAGAGGAAGTAGAACTTAAGTTATCCTTGATACACAGGTAGGTAAATTTGATAGGAAGAATAATACAAGCCAAGTATGAAGCATGTCCTTAGTGGGAATCTGTAATGATTTAGTTGACGATAACGTTTCTTTTATGTCAATATTTCAGTGACTATGGAGGTGAGACTATACCAGGACCTGCATTTGATCCAGCAAGTCACCCAGCTCCATCTCCTGCTCCTTCTTCCTCTTCGGCATTTCGACCTGTAATTCCAACTAGGCAGATTATAGAAAGGCAACCTCGGATGCTGGACTTCAGAGTTGAGTACAGAGACAGGAATGTTGATGTGGTACTTGAAGACAGCTGTACTGTTGGTAAGGTTTTTTCCTACCATAAAGCCTTCACAGATAAACAATTTTATTAGGTAAACATTCAGCTTTCGTTTTTTTCTTTTGAAAAAAAACTACCAACAAGAAGGGAGAAAAAGCAAATTGAAACTATGTTCCCATACAGATTATTGTGCTCTCTTTTTAAATATTGTGTTGTGATTGAGGTAAGTTTGAGATTTTTTCAATTTTGTTTTACATATGTGGAATGGTATATGATGCTTTTAGGGCAGGTGCAAATCAAACATCTAGGAGCTTAAAAAATACCATAATTATTAAGTACATTGCATATCAGACTCTATGGCTGAAGCTCACTCACTTTCATACTATGGTTAATGAGAGATCAGAGATAAGATATTTCTATCACTCCTTCTCTCTGCCAGCTGGATAAATGCTTCAGTACTACCCTTTCAAGGGAAGCTCTGCCTGCCATTTTTAGACAGACTATCAGATTTCTATGAAAAAGCTATGTTGAACTCACGTTTGGTTCGGATTATTTGATCTATATTTGTTATAGAACCAGAAATTGTATTAATTTCTATTTTAATGTAGTTTTGCCCAAAATCTAAATTCCAGGTATTTCTGAAATTTTACCTTTGTTCAGAAAAGGGGAGATCCTTTTCTGATTTCATTACTGAGAAAAGCAAGGCTATCAAAAAGAGTGATCATTCCCAACACTATTCTCTTACTTAAAACTATTTAGAAAATTTCCATTGTTTTTAGGATAAAATTCAAATATATATGTATATATTTTTTAACGTATGAATTTTTTTTTTTTAAATTCAAATATTTTAACATGGCTGTAATCCCTGCTTGGTCAGGCCCCTGCTGCATTTCTAGTTTTCCTGTATCATCACTCTCCTCATTGCTCACCATGTCTAAGTCGTACTGGTTTTCTTTTAGTTCCTTGAATAGGTTATTAGCTTATTCAGGGCCTATGTACTTATTCCTCCTACTGCCTGGATTCTTCTCCAGTTATTTCTTCTTATGTCTATCCCCATGTTCCCAGTTATTTCTCCTTATGTCCATTCCCATGTTCCCAAATATTCTTCTATACATTCCTTTTTGTGGTAAAGAAAAAAATCGTAATATGAGCCTTAACCTGGAAACAAATTTTTAATTGTACAGTATAGTTTTGTTAACTGCGTGCACACTGTTGTACAGCGCATCTCTAGAACTTTTTTATATCGAGATGAAACTTTGTACTTATTGAACAGCAACTCTCCGTTTTCCCCTCCTGCCAGCCCCTGGCACCCATCATTCTACTTTCTGCTTCTATAAGTTTGACTACTTTAAATACCTCATATAAGTGGAATCATGTACTCCTTGTCCTTCTGTGTTGGGCTTATTTCACTTAGTATGATATCCTCAAAGTTCAGCTATATCGTGGCATATTATGGGATTTCCTCCTTTTTTAAGACTGCATAATATTCCATTGTCTATATATGTCACATTTTCTTTATCCATTTGTTTATCGATGGACACTTAAGTTGTTTCCACCTCTAGGCTATTGTAAATAATGCTGTGGTGAACATAGAATCTCTTTTGAGACCTTGCTTTCCAGTCTTTTGGATAAATACCCAGAAGTGAGATTTCTGGATCATATGTTAGTTCTATTTTGAATCTTTTGAAGGACTTTCCATATTCTTTTTCCACAGTGGCTACATCATTTTACATTTCAATAGTGCACAAGGGTTCCAGCTTCTCCATATCCTTGCAGACACTTGTTATTTTCTGGTTTTTTTGTTGTTTCATTTTTAAATATAATGGCCATCTTAACAAGTATGAGGTGATATCTCATTTTGGCTTTGTTTTGCATCTTCATGATGATTAATGCTATTAAGCATTTTTTTCATATACCCGCTGCTCATTTGTATGTCTTCTTTGGAAAAATGTCTAATCAAGTCCTTTGTTCATTTTTAAATTGGATTATTTACTTTTTTGCTATTGAATTGTAGGATTTCTTTATATATTTTGAATATTAACCTCTTATCAGAGGTTTGCAGATGTATTCCCCCATTTTGTAGGTTGACTTTTTATTCTGTTGATTGTTTCCTTTGCTGCACAGAAGATTTTTACTTTAATGTAATTCCACTTTTCTATTTTACTTTTGTTTATGCTTCTGGTGTCGTATCCAAGAAATCATTGCCAAGACCAATGTTATAGAGCTTTTTCTTTATGTTTTCTTCTAGGAGTTTTATAGTTTCAGATCTTACATTTAAGTGTTTAATTAATTTTGAGTTAATTTTTGTGCATGGTGTAAGGTAAAGGTCCAATTTTATTCTTTTGCATAAAACTTGGATATCCAGTTTTCCCCACACCGTCTGTTAAAGAGACTATCCTTTCCTTGTTGTGTAGACTTGGCACTGTTGTCAAAGATCATTTGACTTATATGTGTGGGTTTATTTCTGGGCTCTATTCTGTTCCATTGGTGTATATGTCTGTCTTTATGCTAGTACCATACTGTTTTGGTTAATTTGTAAAATGTTTAGAAGTCAGGAAGTGTTGTTTGTTTGTGTAGAAGTCAGGAAGTGTAAGGCCACCAGCTTTATTCTTTCTGAAGATTGCTTTGACTATTCAGGGTCCTTTGTGGTTCTATGAATTTTAGCATTGTTTTTTCTATTTCTGCAAAAAAAATGCCATTGAGATTTTGATAAGGATCACATTGAATTTGTAGATTGCTTCGGGTAATATGGACATGGTAAGAGTGTTAAGTCTTTCAATCCATGAACATGTAATATCTTCCCCTTTATTTTTTTTTTACTTCTTTCAGCAATGTTTTGTAATTTTCATTACACAGGTCTTTTGCCTCCTTGGAAAAGTTATTTGTATGTATTTTATTCTTTTTGATGCTATTGTAAGTGAAAATATTTTCTTAGTTTCCTTTTTGGATTATTTGTTGTTAGTGTATAGAAATGTAACTAATTTTCATTTGTTGATTTTGTATCCTGCAATTTTGCCAAATTTGTTTATTCTAGCAGGTTTGTTTTTGTTGTTTGTTTGTTTTGTGAGATTTTTAGAGTTTCTACCTATAAGATTGTATCATCTGCAAACGGAGATAATTTTACTTTTTCTTTCTTTTCTGATTTGGTGCCTTTTATTTCTTTTTGTTTCCTAATTGCTCTGGTTAGGACTTCCAATACTATGTTGAATAGAGGCTGTGAGAGTGGGCATTCTTGCTTCTTCATGATCTTTAGTGAAAAAGCTTTTAGTTTTCAGCATTGAGTATGATGTTAGGGCTTTTCATATATGGCCTATTTTATGTTGAGGTAATTTCCTTCTGTTTCTATTCGTTGTTTTTAACATGAAATAGTGTTGAATTTGTCACAAGCCTTTTCTGCATCTATTGACATGAACATGGGATGTTTTTTCTCTATTCTATTAATATGTTATATCACATTGATTGATATTCACGTGTTGAACCATTCCTACATCCTATGGGTAAATTCCACTTGGTCAAGATGTTTATGATTCTTTTAATGTGCTGTTGAATTTGTTTTTCTAGTATTTTGTTGAGGATTTCTGTGTTCATTAGGGATATTGGTCCATTGTGTTGTCATTCTTGTAGTGTCTCTGTCTTGCTGTAGCATCAGGGTAATGTTAGCCTTGTAAAATGTTCCATTCTCTTTACTTTTTGGGAAAAATTTGGTAGAATTCTCTTGTGAAGCAATCTAGTGCTTGCCTTTCTTTGTTGGTATGTTTTTGATTACTGATTCAAACTTCTTTCTAGTTATAGGTCTTTTCAGATTTAGTTTCTTCAGTCTCGGTAGGTTATATGTTTCTAGGAATTTATCTATTCCTTCTATGTTAACCCATCGTTGACATAGGAAGTAGTCTCTGTGACCCTTTTTATTTCTGTGGCATCATTTGTAATTTCTTTTTTATTTCTGATTTTATTTATTTGAGTCTTTCTTTGTTTCAGATAAAAGTTGGTCAGTTTTGTTGATCTTTTCAAATGTCAACTCTTAGTTTTCCTATGGTTTTTCTATTCTCTTTTCATTTATTTCTGCGGTAATCTTTATTTCCTACCTTCTGCTAACTTTGGGCTTAGTTTGTTTCACTTTTTCTAGTTACTTGAGGTGTAAAGTTAAGTCGTTAATTTGAGATTGTTCTTTTTAATTTAGTCATTTACTGCTATAAACTTTCCTCAGTACTGTTTTTCCTTCAACCCATTAATTTTGGTGTGTTTTTGGTTTTCTCAAGATATTTTCTGATTTCTCTTTTGATTTCTTATTTGACCAATTGGTTGTTTAAGCATAAGTTGTTTAATTTAAACATATTTGTGAATTTCCAGAATAGATGACATGTTAGGTCACAAATCTTAACACATTTAAGAAGAGTGAAATCATACCAAGCATGTTTTCCAACCATAATCTAATGAAACTAAAAATCAGTAGTAATATCCTTCTGCCCCTTTCTTCTTAAATTTATTAAGACTTGATTGTGACCTAACATGTCATCTATCTGGGACAATGTTCCTTGTGCACTTGAGAAAATTATGTATTCTGCTGCTGTTGGATGTAATGTTTGCATGTGTCTGTTAGGTTTGTTTTGTCTATGTTATTCAAGTCCTCTGTTTCCTTATTGATCTCCTGTGTGAAAGTTTTATTCATTATTGAAATCTCCTACTATTATTGTAGTAGTATTGTGTATTTTTCCCCTCAGTTCTGTCATTGCTTGCTTCACATATTGGATGATTTGCTGTTTGGTGCATATATGTTTGTAATTGTTACATCTTCCTGGTGAATTTGCTCTTTTATGATTATATTACATCCTCCTTTCTCTTTTGTGAGAGTTTTTGATTGACAGTCTATTTAGTCTGATATTAATATGGCCATCTTCCTCTGTTTTGATTATCATTTATATAGAATATCTTTTTCCATCCTTTCACTTTCAGCCTGTGTGTCCATAAATCTAAAGCGAGTCTCTTGTAGACAGCATATAGTTGTGTCTTGGTTTTTTAATCCAGTCAGCCAGTCTGTGTCTTT